CCAGTTGACCGATGAAATGGAATATGGGGTGCCTATCTAGGATTTCACCCCGGGCCTTGCACATGATAAGCTGTATCGTTTGTCACTGCACAATCTGCCTATTTCAAAGCTCAAGAAGATGTAAACATACCATGTGCTCTGATAAGCCGTTGTTTGACGGCTGGACTGAGGCCACTTGTCTCTGACGGACTGGAGCTGTAGTCGGAAAGTTGTCGAGCAGTTGATACAGCTTTCTTCGTGTGTTGAGTGAGGCCTAAATCGTAGTTCACCATAAACAGTCTTATGAGGATTCTTTACAAGCGGTGCGCCAAAAGGGAAAAGAGTGCATGCGGGCGGTATTTTCGGTTGACGTGACTTGCGTAGCCAGCTAAAGCGGTCCAGAGACTGATTACCCACGCTGTGATGACCCGGCCAAGGCAACCTTGCAAGTAGCGTCACCAGAACGACGCTCGCATGAGGACCCAAATAAACTCACTGCCGAGCTTACTGGTCCTTAGAGGTTTATGTGTTCGGAGGCACAATGGCACGCCACTTTTCCGCCCAAAGAAGCCCGGAACGTAGTTCGAGGATTGTGATCCCCGTGGGCCGTCTTCTTATTCATCCTGCGCTGTCGCACATGGACGTAGACAAGGCGAATCGTGGTATTTTCCTGTCATCAACTATCGGTCAACTGGCTAGTATGTGCCCGTCCTCGCATCCTAGACCTGCCAAATGATACCTATGGCTTGCCAGAGCTGGTGTCCTGCTCAATTTTTCCCGAAAGGAAATTCCTATAGGGTATTGCTTTAGCCGTAACCAAGATGGTATAATTTATATAAAAATAGCCAATCATTGCCTTCTGGCGCGTGGGACTGCATGGGAATCAGGTGTGATCTACCTGATATCATGCAAGAGTTGTGGGGATGAGTACATCGGGGAGACTGGACGACCCCTGTGCTCCAGGGTGAAGGAACACCTAGATAGCCTGAGGCGATCAAGACAAGAGTCCCCCTGGGTAGTCATCGGGTTCAGCGCCATGGAGGCGCGGAGTTGATGGAAGGGCGTAGTTTTGATGTGCGAGACCCACAGCTTCGCGCGCCAAATTTGAAGCTTTTGGATTACGTAAAAATCCCAGAATGAATAGAAAGGACGAATGCCTGACCATCACAAACGAGCTCGCCCCGTTTGCTGACCTGTGTGGGCTTCAGTTGCCATCGGCATCAAGTAGAGCGGTCAGGTCAGCTGAAGCCACCGGGGAGTCTATTTAGCGGTGGTCTCAAACAAGAACCGGTCGTGCATCAAAGGTGAGCTTTGTGGTTGTTTTCTAATGGCTTTTCTGGATCCTACTGGGTAAGGCACAGCTTATTGGATTTGAAATGATTTCCAGCGTAGTTTCCTTTATTTTGACGTTTTTTCCATGCTCCTGACGAGGGCGATAAGGCGCCGAAACGTTAGCCAATAAAACTTTTATACCATCTTGGTTACGGCTAAAGCAATACCCTATAGGAATTCAAAGTATGCCAAGATTCATCGAGAGTCGAACCTGGACACGAAAGGAAATTGTTTCACACGATCCCCAGAAACATTCTCAAGGCTCCCAGAATAGAACAGCTTCGGTAAGTAGAAGGTTCGATGACAGGCGGGCCCGGCGCAATATCGCAACACAGGCGGTCCCATTGGGTGAACAAAAGTTCCGTCATGGACTCCACAGTTTGGGGGCGGTTTTTTCTTATGATCTTGAGGCCAGATCGGTCTAGCTTCAGCTGGCTACTGAGGAAAAGAAGCCTGCTGTGCCGGTTTATCTGGCTGAATATCTTTCATCTCAACATTTTGTGTTGATAGCGGCCTATCAGGGCAGTGCCATCTCGTTATTCCGTTCGATTTTTTCCTGCAGGACTCTGGGCTTTGGTTTTTTTTTTCTTTTTTTTCAGCTCATTCCACCTTTTACCATATCCTTCTATTCTATAAAACCAGTAAACTTTGTTGTCGTCGTTGATGTAGTATGTATGTATGTCATCGTCTGTCGCGCAAAATGCTTCACGGGTTCGAGTTCGCTGAAGGAGAAAACGACCGCTAGGCAAACCGGAAATCGATTGGTGCGGAAGTATCAATGCAATGTTTTGATCGTGATATCGGCCTCCGCTATATAAGACAACCATTCGGTAGGCTCCGAGCCATTGCACGAGCTGCTGGCGTGGCAGCTGGACGTGTGCTCGTGCGGGGGCAGGGTGGGGTGGGGCCGATGGGGGGGGGGACGCCCAGTGCCCCCCCCTCTGCTTCCTTCCCCTGCGCGTGCTCAGCCCCATCTGAGCATGCGCAAGGGAAGGAAGCAGAGGAGGTGGTCTGACTGGAATACTGGGGCGTTTGTTCTAAGGTTTGATATAGGTTACGGCACAGGAATATGTGGGTGACAAGAACTGCTAGCTGCTGATAAGGGAATTCAGAGTTAAAAGGACACCATAGTCATAACGCGGGACCACAAGAATCATAGCGTTGATTTGCAGCCACAATGATAGGAGAAGGCGACGGCGGGTGACGGGAAATGATAACAGCTGATAAGGCCTGATAGAGAAAGATGCAGTCGTTGTTTCAATCAAATGTTGGAGCCTCTACGCGAAATTATGGAGTTTTGGTGATAGCGACATTGATGACGGGTGACAAGCAATTTTATCAATTGATAAGCAAAGATAAGGGGACAATCTCACGACATCTCTAACCACTACACTGCCAAAAAGCCTCTCAGTAAGCGAAATTTTCCCACAGCCATCACTCCTCTGATAGCACTGAAAAATGTACTCATCCCACTAGGGGGGGGGGGGGGGGGGGGGGGGGGTATATACTTCGCCTGAAGCAGGAAGTTTGGAAAAATCAAAAACTCCAATATTGGAACACTTTATGCGTTCAGTGAGTATTCAAATATTTTTTTTGCTTTTCAACTTAAATCACTGATGAGAACGTATAACGAAGTAGTTTGTAAGATATTCAATGAACATATTGTCATCTGCAGCCATTCATGCAACCATAGCAGGTGGATTGCATGTTAATGACAAGTCAATTGCCCATCGTTGCTGTTGTGATGCAGGTAATAAAAACGGAATTTGTTCATCTACTGTGCAACACATATCGATATTCTGTACTTCCTATCTAATTCTGAGATCTACGTCTACGTATCTAGGGGTGCAGATTTCGCTAGGTTACTCTGTCTATTATGATTCGACCACTACCGCGCAATATGAGCAACTCATGCTCCATCCCGTCATGATGTGCGCGTGGCGAAGCCAGGCCAGCTCGGCGAAGCCGAGCTAAAAAGAAGGAGGAGAGCTCGGCGTCAGCCGGGCGATCCGACTGGTTATTTTTATAATCACTAGTATTGCCTGCCGTAGTTCTGTTGCTCTGCTTAATTTTTGGCTATGCATGAGGCTGAAATGACAATCTGCCTCTTTGCTTTGCACCCTTCCTTCCCATTCAGTTATTTCCGCTCTATCAGGTTCAAAATATGGGAATTTTATATGATGCCTACTGGACTTCGAACCAGGAAATCTAGAGTGCGACTACGCTCGGAAAGTCAATGCCCCGTGCGCGGCATTTCCTAGAAAGTTGATTTTACTTACTGTAGCACACTCGAGCTAAACCAAATAGGTCCCGATGCGAGCGTCGTGCAGGTGAAGCCACTTTGAACACCACTGTAGCCGCTTCGCCGCAAAGCGAATCTCCTGGGTCATATATCCCCCAATTCATCGCTCATGTTAGTACTTACCTGATGCTGTAGCTTGTCCTGTCGCCAAAAGCAGGTAGTACTTTGTATTTGGGTCGTAAGTGAAAACCTAAAGCAAATTTCAGTCACGCTTCGAAAAGATGTTCAACTATGGTGGGTGGAAAATGGTTTCAGGCCACGCCCATCTTATGTTTTGCTTTGATAGCTTTTCTAACGGATGAATCAAAGCAGTTAATTCCATAAAAGAGAATAGCAACGCGTTAGATGCTAGCTACGTTGCTGAAAGAAACTCGTAATGCGTCTTTCTAGTAAAAAAAAACTTGTTCAAAAAAGCAAAAATCGAATTTTTCAAGAAATTTTCTCCTGAACGAGAACACCCAAAGAAGGCAAACCTCGGTGTTTTCCGTCCAGCCGCTAACCGTCACGACAGCAGAGCAGTACAGCACTCCATCGCTAAACTTTGCGACCTCGTTTTGGAAATACGATGAGCGAATGTTCTAAAAGAATGCTATCTCCTCGGTGGTTTGAGGACATCTCCACTTAATTGATTCTTTCTGAGGATTTATTGAACAATTCAGAGAATGTGATCCTTTCTAAAGTGCAGAGGGGCGCTGTCCGGCTTGGGAAAGGGCATTTTGCGCTTTCGCTAGCTGCTGTGACTATTTCTTGCCACGTCACACCTTGATGAGACCTGTAGGCTCTTGCTAGGGGTGAAGGAAGCTCCTGCTATTGCTCAGCTTCGCAGAAGTATGCACGTCCCCCTCCGCAAGAGACATCGTCAATGATCGATGGGAACCAGGAAAATGCCCCACCCCCTTATGCCGAAGAGTGCGCAAGGAAGTGATGCGCTCCGCCCACCCCCCCCCTCCCCTAAAGTATGGAGACAGCATCCCAGTAGCACTGCCCCTCGACCCCTCTCCCGTGCACTTCTTAGCGGAGAATGGGGTACGTGACAAGAGAATCGTAATTCGCCGCGCTGATGGGCGTCGCGTGCGACGTCGTGCCCGCAAATGACGATGGTTCCAGGTCGTAAATGGCGACAGCAGGCAATTCAGAACCGAAAATAGTGTTGAAAGCGTGCAGTTTCGTAGCTCACGTGAAATCCGGTGCTCCAATAGACAGGCTAACTCAAACTGAGAGAATGTCGTGCCCATTCCGAGCGGCAAGTTGTGATTTTCTTGTCCGTCCCCCCGGTGAAAGTTGTATGTTACTGCAGCTGCGGACCCAATCGCATTGCTTATGGCAGAAACGGTCTTCGGAGGTGATTGTACACTTTGTCTTTGTCCCAATTTCCCCTCTGAAAATTATTTCCGACTTGAAGACGTACCTCTTCTCCAGGTATCCTTATATTCTTCGTAGCCGGATTGTATGAGAATTTCATAGAGAGCTGTGCGCCAGTGAGTGCCGAACATTCGATAACGTTGTCAAGACCCTGAATATACAAGGGTTACGTTCACTTTGGTGCCGTTTTTTGGACGATCCATGCCATCATAGGTGCTCCCTTCTTCCAGTTCTCGCCCTCACTTTCCCCCTGTCTGACTTGTATAAAATTGAGCTGGGAGGAATCTGTCATATTTTTTCAACACTGGGCTTTCTTTCGTAAGACGCGAGAGATATCGAAAACATATTGCGTTATTATTGTGGGGGTTATTGCCTGTTCCTGAGACCTAGTGAATGCTATTGCTTCAAACAGGTGGATAGTTTGAGCCGTCCAAGATTTTTATAATTTATTGGCCAACGTTTCGGCTTCCTCGCCTTCGTCAGGGCCTGAAAGAGTCCAAAAACAATTGAGATTGTCCCTCGAACGCCTCCACAAGAACTTAAGACTATAGTGTGTAGCCATAACCCGTGAACTCGCGCTCTTTGCCGACCTATGCGGTTTTTGACCTACATGAGGTCGAGGCCGAGGTCGCGGAGTGGAGGTGGAAACTCACTGTTAGTAGTACTGCAGCTTGGGTGGTCGATCTCACGTCATCGCGGCTGAGATCAAGTAGCGTCAAGTCACCACTTATCGATACCATACAGTAGGTGGTGCTGCTAAGATATCGCATATTAGTCTTAAGTTTTTGTGGAGGCGTTCGAGGGACAATCTCAATTGTTTTTGGACTCTTTCAGGCCCTGACGAAGGCGAGGAAGCCGAAACGTTGGCCAATAAATTATAAAAATCTTGGACGGCTCAAACTATCCACCTGTTCGAAGATACAACAATGCCAAGATTAAGAGAAGGTCGATCCTGGTCGATGCTATTGCTTCAGCTGCTTCGTGTAGGGATTATCCGTGGAAGCAGTTTCTTTATCCAGTAGTTTCATGGACCGCGGCTCCCCCAAGCTGAGTTCACACGGTCATTCAAACCTCATTTCATCTTCGTGAACTGTAGCCTTAATGCAACTCCTTTAAATGTGGCATCAACAGCATGCTGCTCACGGGTGGCAGACGAAAAAAAGTTTGGGGAGGTTTTGAGGGTCGCGTGCCAATGGCCCCCGGATTTACTCATTGCTTATCCATTTTTCAAAAGGATAGAGAAGTAAACACTCAGCGGAGTGGTACTATTCACCCCACCTGTGTATCACCTGTGCTCCCGTTGATCATCGAGTTCCTCGAGCGGGCGCCAGTAACGTCTCCATTCGTCCCTGCAACGTGCAAGAGTTGCCCAATGAACTCTCTCAGCTCGAGGGACACGATGAACTTCATTTTCACGAAGAAGTCTGACCATCACAAAGGCGGTCGTCAGGCATTCGCTTGACATCCCGTGGAATCCAGTCGGTGATCGCTCTGGTCCAGCGGTCGTCCTCGAAACGCATGACGTGCCCGGCCCACCTGATCTTCGAAACCTTGGCAAAAGCGGCGGCATCTCTGATCTTCGATCGTTGGCGGAGTGCGGAGCTCCGGATTCCCTCTCTCACACTTGCGTGTAGCGGGAAACTCCGAGCATCGCCCCTTTCGATGGCGCGTTGAATAACGCAACCGCATGCTCATCCTGCTTTCGTAGAGTCCAAGTACTACTAGGAGGAGCATTTCTCTATGTACTAATATGACTGCTCACGTTATCAACCACCTCTACAGGTAATAGGTAAGTATTGTTGAGTTGTAAAAGCGTGACAGAAAGCTAAGGCTGATATATACCTTTTTCACTTTAAAATTCACCTATATACTTATTTCACTTATTAGATTCACCAGCTTTCAAACCAAATTCGCACTCTTTTTTAAACGCGGGCTTTTTCACGTCAACCCAGTTCACGCCAGACACACCTGCGAGCCCTGCCCCGACGACCACGCTTACTTGTCAGCGCGGACATAGATTTTCAACACATGGCCGACTCCGCCCAGTCTTCAAAGGGTTTGTTGCGAAACTTCGAAATTTCATAACTTTTTCAACTTTTTAATTTCACATCACTCTATTGCACAACGAAGATGGCCAGCGCAATTCATGGCACTGGCAGTTTAGCGGCCGCCCCCTTGACCTACGCCGACTTTGCTTTTTCGGGAATTTTGACATTTTTTTTTTCAAAATTTTTGCATATCAGGGCTGCTGAATGAAGCCCCTGAAAATGCAAAAAATGACGGCTGCTGGGGAGAGACTTCCCCGCTTCAAAGAGGCCCCGCCCGAGTCGCTCAAAAATGGGTGCAACTCGTCTGGGTTGCATGGCTAAGGTATTCGTCTGTCACTGCGCCGAACAAATAATCAAGGGAAGTTTGTTCGTAATGGACCAGCATTACCGCAAGCCATGTAAAGCCAACTCCTGCACTGTCGATTTTGCCCACCATTCTTTTGGAAAAAAGTGGCGCGGCGGACTTTCAAAGCGTGCGAGCCATCTCAGCAGTTGAGAGGCGCTTTACGCCAGCAGTCCTAGAATGCAGAAATTTATGAAACAAAAATATCAAAAATCCGCAAAAGCAACGTGGGCGTGGTCAAGGGTCGGCGCCTAAACTGCCAAGTCATAAATGCGCGGGTACGAGTGTCTTCGTTGTGCAAAGAGTGGATGTGGAAATCAAAAAGTTGAAAAAGTTATGAAATTTCGAAGTTCGCAACAAACCCTTAAAGAATGGGCGGAGTCGGTCATGTGTTGAAAATCTATGTCCGCGCTGACAAGTAGGCGTGACGTCGGGGCAGGGCTCGCAGTGGTGTCTGGCGATCTGGTTGGTGAACTGCCCGGTCTAAAAAGAGTGGTGAATTTGATTTGAAAAGTGATGAATTCAAAGTGAAAATGGTAATATCCCTCCTCCAGTTGACTTGCTTGATCTACCCCTTTAGCCCTATTTGTACTGAAACTGTTTGAAATCCCCCCTCGACGTATGCCGTGTTCATCCTTTCTCTTTGTGATTTTTCACGCATTTTAAAATCATGTTCCTTTCAGTTTTATGGAATTTATGAGGCACCATCAAAATGCGCTTCACTGTGGTGTAGCTCCTTCCTTTGAAGATATGTCAGTTCACCTCTTCATAGCAGGTACGCATTCTTGTACCGTATTCTACTGCTTATGAGTTACTTCTTAGTATTATTGTCTACGACAAGTAATATGAACCCATTATTGCATGGCATCACTGATTATTAAATAGGTATCAGAAGGCTATTATCCTGGAGACGATTTCGGCGACGGGAGGGGGGGGCATTTTGTACTATCATTGCTTCCTTAGTTCCGGTTTACAAGTCTCACTCTGGCGAAACCTGTGAACTCTTGTGAAGCTGGAGCAAGGTCGTCAAGCCATCATGTTAAAACCTGTCAACTCGAGAAGAGGCTGTCTAGATAGGTCGACACGTCGATGGGAAGTAGCAAAAGTGCAAAATGCCCCCCCCCCCGTCGCGGAACTGCGCCCTATTTCTTAGTATTATTGTGTGTCATCTACTATTACGATACCAATACAAAATCAGAGAAAGGAAAGAGGGATCAAAAAATGAAGGGGAAAGCTCACCATTTTGTCATCGCTGGAGAATCCAAGAGCAAGGTATACAGAACTGGTCTGTTTGGTTGGCATAGAGAGTTCAAATCGTATCTGTGTATTCGAGAGGACCTATAATAAGTGCTTATCAATTGGACACTTCTCACGAGTGTTTACCCGCTGAATTTTATTCGAAAGACATTCCGCGATAACTGAAGGCAGCGGGAGGGACACATGACCATTGTGTATTCTTTGTGAACTGCAGTTGCTATTTCCTTATTGATTGCGCCCATGCTGTTGGCCGTCTCCGAAACATGATCACCAATGAGAAACGCTGTTCGTTCTAGTAACTCCGCCCATGCGACTGGTACCGAATGTGCCTGTGAACATACTCCCTCCTTTCCCCTACATTTGCTGCTGAATTTTTTTTTATTTTTGCAGCTTTGATATTCATTATGACGTAAACATTACAATGGTGTCCCAACCGCGGAAAATTATGAGTTTACGCTTTGAAACACGACAAGTTATGAACGAACCTCGTATGAAGCGGAAAGTCCATCAGAGACAAAACATCCTTTCGTCTTTCCACATGTCGCGTTGTCAAAAGTCTGTTGCTAAAGCAGATTTCCATTTCTAATACCGGTCTAATAGTTCCCATTGCTAACACGAACATGATGGTGTAAG